AATAATTTCGTGTCGAATCGTACGGTGTCGAATAATCTGGTGTCGAATCGTACGGTGTCAAATAATTTGGTGTCGAATAAATCTGTGTCAAATCGAGCGGTGTCGAATCGTACTGTGGTCAATAGAGTATCACCCATTTTGTGCTATCTGCAACTGACTTAGTTGCGTTTCACCCATATCTAGTAATAGCGTTGCGCAATACTCAAATTGCGGCGCTATGATTGTTTTATATGTAATACATCTAGTATACGCTGATATAAAGTTGCCTATTCTCTTCAAGAAACTCGTTTTTTTACCTATTTTTTTTGCATATAATCACAATGAGCTTTAAATCTTAGTTTGTCATCAATAATTATACCTAGATACTTCATTGTTTCTACACGCTCTATCCCAATACCGTCCAGGCATTTTAATGTAATATTACCTCTCAATTCTTTTCGTATACTTCTAACTATCATAAATTTTGTTTTTCCCGCATTCATTTTTAGCTTGTTTATATTCATCCACTGCTTGACTACATTAAATGCTGTATTCATTTTACTCTCTAAATCCATACTACTTTCTCCACTAACGTATATTAAGGTGTNATCAGCGAACATTTTTATACTGCATCCTTCTGGACAGACTTTGATTATATCATTTATATATACTATAAATAACAAAGGTCCCAATACTGATCCCTGTAGTACTCCATATTCTGTTGTTAGCAATCTATACCACTTATGATTAAATCGCACTTGCTGTTTCCTATTGCTTAGATACGATTTAAGCCACTCTAAAACCACTCCTTTAATTCCATATTGATACAATTTCCCTAATAATCTTTCTCTGTCTATTGTCTCAAACGCTCTTTTAAGAGGGTACTGGATACCGACTATAGAGACCTGTAAACCGACTTTTTCCTATGACGTTTGGTGTCGTATTTACTTTATTAAATCTAAAATGCTTCTACAAAAATAAGTAAATTGTGCTAAGAATTGGCGCTTGTTCTTTGGAATGTCAAAATTCAGCATCGATTTTTTCTTATACAGTTTCCTTCTATAACCTCACTATATATTCATGTATGTAGAATTATTTCTAAGCTTATGTACATATTTACAATGAACAAGCGCCACAGATACGACAAAAACGAATCTAATGAAACATTCAGATTATGGTATGACTATCTAAATGATGAGAACAACGTCTTAGTGTGATGACAGTATAGGTTATCATATGCTATCATTATGAATAAAAAAAGGAGTTTCAAAANGCATTATATATCTATTTTCAAAAGCACTAAATAGTTGTTTATATGTATTTGCTTCTATAGAAGCACTTTTTATGTAATGCAGTAAAAAAACTTAAAAATTAGAGAAATTTAGGTTTTCAAAACGTCGGTTTACAGGTTTCTATCCAGTTTACAGGCCGGGCTCCAATACTTTCTTAAGGTCCATAAAAATTACTCCCACCATTTGTCCCTCACTTACTACTAGTTTCCATTCGTCAATGACAGTTTGAATTGCTGTTTCGCACGAATACTGTTTTCTGAACCCCGACTGATGCTCTGTAATAATAGCATTACTTTCTAGATACATTTCAAGTTGTTCTTTTACTATTAATTCTAACACTTTCTCAAACACTGGTAATATATTAATAAGTCTGTATTCACTCGCTTTTCTCGCTTTATCTATTTTTGGTATCGGCACTATCGTCGAAGTTTTCCATCCTTCCGGACAGTAACCGGTATTTATTACATTTGCAAACTCCTCTTTTATTACGCAGAAAGCTGCTTTTAATACATCACTAGTTATGCNCTCATCCGTACCTTTCTTTTTTGATAAACTCATAACAATTTTTTCTAACTTGTCTACCCCTATTATCTCAAAACTTTCCATACTTCCTTTATTCTCGATAACATAAATTATTTTTTTATTTGTACCGCTGAATCTATCTATATTTATAGATTGAACTATATTATTAATACTCTTTACATAGTATAAATTAAACTTATCGGCTATATTCGGCTCATCAATATTATCTAAGATTTCAAAGTCTATACTTTCTACTATCTTTGTCCCTACTGGCTCAC